TCGCATGGCTCGCATGGCTCGCATGGCTTGCATGGCTCGCATGGCTTGCATGGCTCGCATAGCTCGCATAGCTCGCATGGTTCGCCCTTTGGCTCGCATGGCTCGCTGGCTCGCAGGTTTATAAAACTCTTAAATTGACACCCACAGACGTAGTTACAAAATGCCTCCTTTGCTGTCTTCTTTTCAAAACATCTTTGCCAGTTGACACTGAATGATGATATACTTAAAGAGAAGACCAATTTTATTCAAAACATCTCTTAGGGCTATTGATAACAGGCGATAATGAGAAGACCTCAAGATACATGTAACGAATCCTATTGGATACGTGTAATAAGATTGAAAATTTAAAACAAAAAATCACTTGGTTTTGGAAGGTCAAACTCTCTGGCTTTGTCGTAGTCCCTACTTTTGTGTGCTTCTTGCCCCCAAGAGTTGGAGTGGCATAATTTTCTTTTGCATCACACACAACGGACTTAGTGAAAGAAGTTGAGACCTATTCATTGACCACTGGTTAATGGGATACCAGTAATTTTGAACTCCAAATAGTAGCTCAAAAAAACATATAACAGTCTCCCGCAACTTTATTTAGTACATATATGTACATGTAAGTGTGCTAATTTTTGGTGAAGACATCGAAATGGAAATAAGCCACAAATATTTCCAAGTTGACGTTTGCCCCCTTCATCTTTGCCAACTCTCTCAAATTATTTAGGAATCTCCTGGGTACAGATTGAATCTCCTGGTCTCACGTACATGTCACCAAGACAATACAAAGGCAAATGCATAAATTATACGTTTTTCAACCATCTAATTTTAGCTGATTTTTGCCATTTTAGGAAGCAGCGATGTTTTGGATATTTGATACCATGACTTTTGAGTTGAATTGCCAGAGCTCTTTTTTGAACAACTTGGGTCAAGAAGGCAAAATTGGCAGTCTCCCAGATTTCAGTTTGTTCCTAGGTTGGCATCTCTGCTCTTTGTCAAAATAAGTCTTCATGCAAAATGTGCATTCATGTGCTTTATGTGCATGTTTATAAAATTTATGCCATCAAACTAGTTCACAGATGAAAAGTTTTGCATGAAGACTCATTTTGAAAAAGATGCAAAAGGCAACTCAGAAGTGACCTATACTATTTACCAATAAAGAGAATTAAATGTATCACTTAATTAGAACTACTGCTTCTAGGGGTAGATAACTTCATGTTATGTTCTATTTTAAAAGACATCTATGTCCAACTGATAAACAGGTAATCAATGAATAGAAATCAACAATAACATAACTTACACTGTACTCACAATAACATGTTTATATGTTTCAGACCATACTGAATGATATTTCCATATAAAGGCATACTTTTCAGATAACAGCAAATTAACATTGATAAACATCAATGGGTCAGAACTCATAAGTTGTTTTGTTTGTCTTGTGATACCCCATAAGGACTAATTATGTCCAACTATGTCAATGGTCACAGACTAAGAACAAAACTGAGAAATATTACTCTTCCTACGTGTATTTTTAGCAGTTACATAGTGAGTACAATATTGAATCCATCAATGAAAATTAAATACCTTTAATTTAAATAGAAAACACAAAGCATTTTTTATTATACTTTTAAAAGTTTAGAGGAGCTTCAACAAATTGCTTCAGTTATGACAACAACAAATACATTCATACCAAACAAGTGCTTCAGGTTTTCATACTACAGGTAACAAGAAACCAGACTTAAAATTACTGAAAGGAAAAAGTTACTCAAAACATATGGACTGAGCAGAATCATTACACCCCTCAGGCTAAAAATATACATCCCAGATGACTGCCTTTGAAAGAAGACCTTGAGATGCATTGTCTTGTTGAAACCACAGTTGGCACGGACCCACTGTGATTATATTGGCCAGGGCCATAAATGACATATCGCATAAATCATTAAATTATGCAGAAAAAGTTCCATTGGATCATAAATAAGTATTAGTCTATTACTATTAAAAGATGATATAAACTGAAAAAAAAAAACCTCCCTCTCAACAGAGAGATGCAGATTGCATTATGCCATATAGAAATAGTCTTTTACTTTATAGATGACATTGATAGACCGCAAATGAGGGGTGACTGACATTGAAATATAATTCTCTTTATCCTTAAACAATTGTTAAATGTAAGTGAAAAGCTTTCAGTGATAAAGCTCAAACAGTAGTAATGCCAAGAAAAACACAATGAACAAACACAGGGTGACTGTCTGAAGCCCTACCAGCAATGAAAACTGACACAAAGTTTGCTCAACTACTCACGCAGACTTGTCTGCTAATTGAGAGTTTTGTTGTTCAGGCCGTAAGTTAAAAAGGGAAAACAAAGATGAATAAATTGAACAAAACTACAACAAAGGGAAACAAAACAGCATGGGATCTGAGTTTGTCACTTGTCAAAACAACCATCTAGAGAAAACTGAAAGCACTTGACAAATGAAGACTGTGGCTGGCAGTGTTATGACATACAAGGAAATTAATGAAAACGTGACGCTGCAAAAGCCAACAAGTATGAACACTGTTCATGAAACCAAAATAACGATAAATACCCAAGAAAACTTCACAGGATTTTTGGAAAGTTTCTATTATCCAAGTTGCACAATTTTAGTCAATTTGATGTTTAATTAAGCAATGCAGTGATCATTACATGTACACGTAGTTACGAAACTTCAGCCCATATTATTTTTATTTGGTATTGCCTCTAACAAAAACATAACCTTAATAAGAGAACACTCATGGATCAAATCTAAGATTTTTCAGGAAAAGAAAGCTAAAATGATTTTTCCAGCCACAATGAATTACAGGCCGGATGCGCAAGAACATTTTTCTGTCCAGTTCTTCCGCTCGTGCTGAAACGACAATGATTAAAATATTTCCTTTTTACATGTGATGAAACTAACTTAGCAAATGTTGGCGAATGGAATGTATGATGTGAAAAACGACTATTGTAATGCCGGTCAAGCTGATAAAACAATACGACGGCGACACAGCTGCGTACTAGCATTAATGGTGTAAACACGACCCTTTCTACAAATAATTAAGCGTAAAAGCGTAGTAATGCTACGCTAGTATCAATGATCTGAATTCACAAGGAAATATTTCAAAAGGTTTGATTAAAACGCGGCAGTCAGAGGACTCTTTGAATTTTCATTCATTTAACGTGAAATTCTACAGATATTGTCTTCCGAATTTTCAACAACAACTAGAGAAATCTCAAAACGCCCAGATTGGATGTTGCTGACGACATCTCACGAAAACCAACGTTGACCAAGAAACTGGTCGCGAAGAGGAAACGAAGTCCTGAGCAAGCGGACAGACCACAATTTGCACGATCGGAAGCAATTTTCGCTAACCACTGATCCTCCTTCGGGACTTAAAACAGGGAGGCATTTATAATGAGAGCTGGTTAATGGCGATACATGTACTTTTACGACAACAAAAGAGAATCTAGCATATGAAATCGCGCACTTCAAAATTACACGCAGCTTCCTACGGTCCTAACCATTTAGTGTCAAAGACGGTTTTACCTGATCACAACGTTTTTCGTTTGATTCCGCATCCAGACTGTCCGAAGGTTTTATCGTTCTCTTCTGTCGGTTCAACTCTTCGAGAATTCGGACTAGCAGAATGTTCGCCGGTAAATCGTCCACATCTTCTTCCACAAGAACTCGACATTCAGGGCATCTTAACTCCTTTCTCCTCTCTACGATTTCTTTCAAACACCTTCTACAGAATGTATGTTGGCACGGCAATACCTTGCAACTTTGATCAAGTTGTTCCAGACACACAGAACACTCCAAAAGTTCATTTAAGTGGAGTTCGTCCATGGCCGCACATGCAGAAATTTGTGACGAATGGGCTTGAATTCCTCACAGACAGAGCATATCGTAGTTCCCCGGCACTTGCTTCACTGCACGGCTATTAAAAGACAAAAAACACTTGTTTTGGTCGTTAGCCCCAGAAAGAAGTGATCAAAACATTTGTTCAACATCAAATATATTCTTTCCAATTGAAGACCTGACCTCGACTATTTGTTGTCATGCTAAAAGCGCATGTGCGACACATCTGTGAATTATCTTAAATTAGCATAATTTAATTACGAAGTTTAGTTATTCTGACCTATTCTGTTTCCGAGCTCAGAACTTTCGTCGGAGAATGCCTGGGTTTTACCAGCTTTCTAACAAAACTGTGATGGTTTAAATATTACAAAAGTATATTATTTGTACAGCTGTATATATTTCATGGGCCCCATATTTCATGCATGCTTTCAAATTTTTTGTGGGTGCTAAAAGGGAGAGAGAAAAGAAAAAGAAAAGAAATATTTGTGTGAGGGACCAAACTTCAAGGGCCGCAGCCAGTATAATTAATAAATCAGGAAATAGTGGTTTTGCTAATAATTCGAATCTACGTATAACTAGTGTTATGTGGGATAGCTTGCATTCCAGAGGTAAAAAAAAAAACACTGAAAATACTTAAATTACCCAGGAGAGATGAAGAGACGCCGTTGATATGACCGATGTCAAAAATAGGCCGGCATTTTCGATTTACTAGTATCAAAATTCTAACTTGTCTCCAAGGCTTGGGGAAATAAAACAAAGCAAATCGCATCCAATTTTGATATATCGAAATTGGCCTATTCCACGACAGCGGTCTGATAAGGTCCAAAGCCAATTTGAAGTTTTCGTTATTTGAGAGGCTTGTTTATCTATAACGATAACAAAGTGTTCAGGGGTCAACAAGTTGGCCTTAGTATTACCTCAGTCTGCAGGACCTAAGTCCTAAAGGTCTGTCTTGATCTAAATAGAATAAATTTTGACGGAAAGCCATCAATTATCCCTTCCTCGACTACTGGAGAAGTTTTACACGGTCCTTGGTCGGAGCAAGAAGGAGCGTGAGGTCCTCTTTATGTCAGTCTCAGACTAAAAAAATACTGAAAACTGCTTTTCTCTGAGATACAGTGTGTAGACCAACTACTCCCAGCCTACCCCTCCACTCACTTATCTGACGGCACCTACCTCAAAACGGCTTCTCCGTGTGTCACAATAGCAGAATCAGCGCATATCTATCTAACCGTATCTGCTTTATTTTTTTTTTCAAGTCTCAACAATAAAGGGGACTAACACTCCTTTCTGGCCGAATGTGGGCGTGTTTCGGAGTTACATTTGTCTGATGTCTTCTCTCGGCCAAGCTTTGATCAGTACCGTCAGCAAGCCTTAAATCGAATCTCGACTTATCTGCGGTGTTGTATCAAGAAAAACAAATGTTGTCAATGACGACTTTTTTGTGATTCACGAGTCTCTCAGGCTTAGTAATATCGTCACTGCCTCCGTACATAAAACATATATTTTACAGCTCACCATAGGAACACTTTGAATAAATTACAGTTTACATCAGATACACAGTACTGATCTCATAAGCCCACTATAATGATTGCTGTTTATAGCTCGGTAGCTGTTGTAGGCTGCCAAGATGAGAATAGCCAAACTATTTATAGTTTTCATTTGTAAATACGTGTGTGTTAATTAATCATAACCGCGCCCTTTCAATCAGGATGTAGCCGAAGGCCTCTTAATTAATTATGATAAGGGTTTGTCCGCGGTCCGGAAGAAATCGTGAGATGAAATATCTTAATCCCTTTTACAAGCGGGCCCACAATGGCGCCTATTAACGCTTGCCCCTTTATATTAGCAGTGCTTTTATATTTCTGAGGTGAAGTTCGGCAAATATCCAGTGATTTTCATTTCAGTTAAGGTTGCATGAAAAAAACCTGATTGTATCGGAAAGGAATGCTTGAGCAATGAAGAAAAGAAAATACTAAGCATTACATTAAATGAAAAATAACATACCCGGATTAACTGAGCCAAACAATACTGAACAATGAATTCAAGGAGGTGTTCACTGTCGGAATATTGACCGCAAAAGAAAACCGAACAAAATGTAAATCTCACATGTAAAAACATGATTTACCTCTGGTCATTTAATATTGCTATCCGGCCCCAGTCACGATTTTATCAGCTAACCAGCGTTTAACTCGGCCAAAGCCCTCAGTTTCACAGGTTGAAAGCTAACAATAACATTGATTTTACCTTTGAATAAACCATGTAATTAATACTTCGTATAAAACCAAATCGTAAACATGCCTTGAAGTCTGTAAAGAGCCTAGTTGTGGTTTCCTTTCTTGTGCCGGTGTATGCCGCAGCGGTACATCATAAATGTCATTTGCGCGGGGTGATTGATCAAAGCTGCACTTTAATCTCAAAGAATAACTGAGTGTTTCTTGAGATATTGGATCGCTATGAAAGATGTGACTGGTTTGATTAGATGCTGCGTGGAAAATAACAAACGCTATTCCATATGTGACGATTCAAGGTGACGATTCAAAGAAAGGAGGGTTTTCTAACATTCTTTTGCTGTTGTCTTTCCCAGTTTAAACTAGGGCTTACTGTCCCATGCACTGCATTAATTGAACAGATAACACGTTAAGGCCAAAAGAAAAAAAACAAAACAAAAAAAAAAGAAAAAAAAAAGAAAGAAAACACTCATGGTGTCGGCGTATGAAAAATTACTTCGAGAGCCATCCAATCATATTTACCTAACAGTATTGCTCGTTTATACTGTGCTATCATAATTGAATTCTCCAGGGTGTTTCCTCTCGGCTGTGATTAATAACATTGTGTTCTTTTCGACTTAACTAATCAGCACAGAGTAATGACTGGCGCAAAGCTAATGCTCAGACATTTTCTACTATCTTTCAAAGAGTAAGCGCTTAGTTAAGCCCAATACGCCGACAAGATAAAGCGGACGTGCTACGTCATGTGATTCAGTTAGTCATTTATGGCTGTCAAAAGTATTACCAGTCCTCACGCTTCCATCAAAGCACGCCAGCAAATGGAAGTAAGACTGCAGAGGAGTGATAATGGCTAAGATAATAATTTCAGCTTTCAATCAGCATAAATTTTCATAATTTACGCGAGCACGGGCAATAACAATGGTTCGATTTATACTAAAGACGGATCAGCCGTCTGGGACGAACTTGGGCAAAGGACGGTAGTTCGGCGGATAATTAGCCTGTGTGTAAATACGAATTACCAACGTTAGTTCATCTAGGAAGACGGACGTTAATTTGCGTCTCTTACACAAGTCAAGCCAATGACTTAAAACCTATGCAACCGATAACAAGAGTTAAAGATTTATACAAACCACATCAAAGTTTTCAACTTCTCTTTTTTTTGAAACTCGAGTTTATTTTGTTAAAAATTACACGTGCCACTACTAAGATAGCAATTCAAATAATTTAATCTTAGAGTACATTTAATACCTTTTTCACGGCACCTACGTTCTGCCGCTCGAATCTAATTTTCACTTGTAAAAGAGGCCATTTATAATATCCCGTTTGAGTCGGCGCCCACGAAAACGGTCGAAAACGACACGGCTTGTTTCAATTAAAATATTTTGTCTTTTAAAGAAACATGGCATAGCCCACTGCATAAACACAGAACAGATATAATATCGATTAGATTAAAAAACGAAAATGTGCTTTTCACTTGAGTGTCGTAAAACCATAACTGTGGCCGATCACAGCAAAACTAAAAAGAGCGAGCCAGTAAGAACACTACGCAAATAAATGCCTCACGCGGGAAAAACCACGTGACTAGGTCGGGAATGGCTGATTGGTTGAGTAGGCTGGGCGAATTTATTAAATCCAATCAGAGAGTTTAGGAAAGTTCTGAGGAAGTGAGGCACGCCAACCAAGTTTGACGAAGTCTACCGACACGTCGCGATTTGATTGACTTATAAAATTGCAAAGTTTATACACACCACATAAGTTTATGTCCTGTCAACCAATTCTAAAACTACCTGCTTCGACACTCTAAAGCTCGTTTTTGGTTACTTTACTGACTTCCAAGCGCTTTCAAACGAGACAGTAAGGTGAACGTTTATGTGAACAAACGAGAAATGAGCTTACTGAAACGATTTGCCTCCTTAGCCATAGGAAGGGACAATCGGGAATCATCACGTCTTCGGGGAAGTTCTATACTGTTCCGAATGTGTCACGAACGTAACATAAGCTGCTATATTCTGTATAGTATTATGGTTAAGTTTATACACATGTATTTTGTCGAGGAAATCTTCGCTTGAATAATGTGTTTATATGCCATGTTACGCATTGGTCAAAATCAGTCACGTGGTACATTTAATTTCTTTAAATAGGTCAAGTTATACAAAACTGTTACTACAGAAACAGCTATGGGAGAATCGAATACTCCTGGATCGCTGTTATAGCCAAATGCGCAATTAACCAATCAGAAGTCTTGTTTGAGTGATATCAAGTCACTCACTTGATATTGACCGAATTTACGTGCGCTAAATATCTTATCGTACCTTTTTAGTTCGCTTCCATAACATATCAGGCTACGTACGGTGAGAGCCACGGGTATTTTGGCGCCGAGATGCAATCGCGCCAAAATACCCCGTGGCTCGACCAAACTCGTCCGCACACCGCCGAAGGTATACAAGACACCCTTGCAGAAGTGTATGTAGAGAATATTACAGAGGGTATAGATATAAATTTTATTCTCGAGTGGTCAAAACAATATTTAACGAACGAGCATAGCGAGTGAGTGAAATGTTGTTTTAGCACGAGAAAATAAAATTCATATCTTCAAGCCACGGTGTAATTTCTTTTTTATTATATAGACCGTTTGGACAAACAACCGTGAAAAAGCGGAAATGACGTCATCGACATCCTCACTAGTGCGGATATGGAAAATACGCCACTCGGGTCCCGGATGAAGTTTCGTACGAATTTTACGAGTGGTGTATTTTCCAGTAAAACACTCGTCTCTATATAATAAATAGCATTCTAAAGCATTCTGAACTCCTCGTAAGACACTTTTCATGCACGCGTTCAAGCCATTCTAAGGAACAACCTTCGGTGAGTGCTCTCGTGAATGGAACTTTTCGGCGATACGGCGGCCATTTTGAATTTGACTGTTTAAAATAGCTATTATGGGATGCTTAGTGGGCAATCTCGTATTCTCGGTATTGGACTGGAACCAGCCCGCAATGGAGGCTCATCCGGGTTATATCATTTTTAAAACAGAGTTTAATGTCATAGGCATTTAAATTGGCCTCAGTTGCAAGCTAGTTCCGGCCTAATATCGGGAATAGGAAAATAGTCTACTGTAAATCTATCCACGTGATCAATTCTGACCAATGACGACACAGATTCCTTGGAGTGCAGTCACACTGCAGTAAAGAATGTGGTCCTAAACACTGCGCAGTTGAACTGAGCGTTTAACTTTCTCTCGTAAAGAAAAAAAATCGAGCAACGGTATCCAGTGAGATATAGATTATTCTCGCTAAGACTAATAATAGGTTTTTCGTAGGCTGTTGTTGTTGTTTCATGAGTTAAATCAACCCACAGAACGCTTTCTGGTAGTTAGGTCTGTGCCGATTGTGCTCGTAAAATGCTGGAAAGTTAGTGCCTGGAATGCCAAAAAGTTGTTAAAAAATTGCCAAAAATCTTACCTAAATGTCAAAAGTTGCCGCCTAAATTTCTTGACCTTTTTATAAAGACGTTAATTAAAAGCTTTAGTTTTCGTTCTCCACAATAATTGCTAATATCGGTCAAGAAAAAAAATAGAAACTTAGCTTTAAACAGTTGCTCACAAATAAGGGCGAAATTTAATTAAGGATACTACGGCACAAAACAATAGGCCTGCGAATGTTGTCAACTGACAGGTTGTTCAAACTTCAAAAGGGTTGATCATGATAAACATTCAGGAAATCCGTATAAATGAAGTTTTTTTTAAAGAAATCGTTGACTTTTTTGGCTTGATATGTGCTCTACACCTATATTTTGCTTAAAAGTTACTCAGACAGGCAAAACTTGCTCGAGGTTGCTAAAACCGCAATTAGTTGCTCCAAAAGCCAAAAGTTGCTCGAAAGTCGCCGAGCACAATTGGTACAGGTCTCCTAATAGTGTTTCGTTCACTTTCATTTATCAAAATTAAAATGAGAAGAAATCAGTGAAGGTACAAACTTCACACTTTTTGTACAATTCTCGGTATTCTCGGTGCTACAGTTGGACCCCGCGAATTCGAACTCGGTTGTTTTGAAGTCCCCGTTATATGGAACTTACAACCATTTCCCTTGGAATTTGCCTTTCAGTCATTTACTATCGGTTATTTCAAACTCGCACTGTTTCGAACTGTTTGTTCGTTTGCCCTAAGACTTCGAAATAGCGGCGTTCAACTGTATTAAGCCCGACGAAAAAGTTGAACTGCGGGCAGGCCCACTTGATTTCCCGCATGTGGGATCGCGTAGCTTACTGACTAGATCTCGCGGCTTCGAAACTTACACGAGTGATTCAAAGGTGAGCCTGCTCTTTGAAGGCCAAGATCAAGCCTACAGTTTTGTAACTACGAGAGGAGCAATCAACTGTGGCAGTTCAAATTTTTTTCAGTTATGTTAATGATCACGAACACTACATGACGATGGAAGTTCAGCTCACCAACATTCGCCGAGTATAAAACCACCTTCCGTAAAAGATCTTATCCAGGCCTACAACTAAATATTATGACACAAGCAGCAACGCGCGCATTCTCTCTATAGAAAGCTATTTTCGAATAATATGATTAAACCTCGCGCGAAAAAAGTAAAACGTCAAACGATTGTGACTCCTCTCTTCAAGTTGACTCATTCCCAGTCTACCGGTAGCTATCACGTCCCATGATTCCTACCGCGTCCTTCGTACGGTTTTTCCGCCGCCATCTTTAGTTCGCGTGTTCTCGCAGACGGCCTAATCTGGGTTTAGGTTGATATCACCCGAGTAGGAATCATCTCCCCAGTCTATATTGTCCAACAGAGGGTCGAAGGCTGACTCGGCCAGTAACAGGCCCAATACCTGTTCATCGGCCTCGCCTAAGCCGTAGTTTGAATCGGACCATCCTGTAAATGACGCTGTCCCATCTTGAACATTTTGGTCACCTGCAAATAATAATAACAGCCTTAATTTATACACGGGGTGTGAAAGTAGCTGACAGAAGATTACGATTATGTAAACATTTGACCGAAACCCAACCCACCCTCCCCCACAATTTTGTCAGGTGCCCCAAACAATAGCCAGTTTCATTGATATTCGGAATAAAATTCCTGGTTGGAGGAGAGACACAAGGAGTCAATACCACAACTTATTCTTTGGAAAGCTCTGCATGCGAGATAAATGAACACAATCGTTTGCTGTGATTGGGTACCCGACTGGGCAGCCTCAGTGTCCATTTGGGATTACCCGCAGTTTCTCGAGCTGTAACGGGTGGCTTTGATACTAACCTGTTTGTCGTGAGCTTCCCTCCTGAGGGTCATCAGACAGCATTGCGCGGAGTCCACTGCTGTAGGTAGAAGAAGCTGGCGAGGCAGCTGCCTGTTGCTGCTGCCCAACCACCTCCCTTCTCCTCTGCTCTTCGTACATCAGCAATCGCTGCTCTTGTTGCTGGACTAAAAGTTGCCGCCGTTGCTCCTGTGAGCCGCAAGGAAAAAAGGGTCATTTCAGTGTTTATAAAACTAATCGAGTGTGATCGCGAGCTAAAAAACAATATCAGATGCTGATTGCGTTAGCGGTTGCAACTTTCGGGTAAGTATTCGCTCAAGTGTTTCAAAACACGAAGCAAAAACAACAGTAAAAACAAAAGACAAAAGCAAAAATGCGCTAACAAAAAGGACAAAAATCATATGGCTTATCAGCAATAACCTTACCATAATGTCCTGTTCTTTCAATGAAAGTAATAAAATGGAAATTTCAAATTTCTCTTTTAATTAAACATGTATTCTCTCCCCATACTCCCTTCTGCCCTCCTCCCACACCGAATTCACACGTAGCGTGTCCACTGCAACAATGATAAGCTAATGGCAGAAGATTAAACAAACAAACAAAAATGAATAAATAGTAAACCACCAAAAAAGAAAAAAACAAAGAAAGGAATACAATAGCCATCAGACCTGATGTAGCGCTAACAACTGCTGCTGTTGCGTAAGCAGTGGATTATACAGGAGCTCCTCGTCCTCCAGTTTTTTCTCCTGCTTGTTCGCAGACGAGTCCGAAGCGCTTTCGTTGCTAGATAATTCTCCTGGTGAATCCATCAACATAGCGCGTAATTCTTCTGATGTAAAGTTCGAGAAATAGTCGCCCTTTGGCTTGGAAGTTTTCTTTTTCTCCGCCAGAGCAAGATTGCGTGCAGGAGACGGAGATCCTGTTGACGTCGAAGGAATGGCCTCGTAAGGCATGTAACTTGTAGACGAGGATGTGATCGTTGACGACGGAATTTGAGATCCTACCATGTTGCTCAAAGGCGTGCCTCTTGAAAGCTGTTGCTGAAGGTGAAGTTGACGCTCTTGTTGCTGCTGCTGTTGTTGTTGTTGTTGTTGTTGTTGTTGTTGTTGTTGTTGTTGTTGTTGTTGCTGCTGCTGTTGCTGCTGCTGTTGATGTTGTTGTTGCTGTTGTAATGCAACGCTGTAACTTGTTGTGGTAGAGCTCACGCGGTTCATCGCCAAACCCGGAGCCTCACGCCGATTCTGTTGTTGCGACTGGAACATCCCTCGTGGTCTTTGCAGTTGCTGTTGTTGTGGAAGTTGTCGCTGGTTGTGCGAAAGCGGAGGTGGCTGCTGCTGTTGTTGGTGCCGCTGCTGCTGTTGCTGCTGTTGCTGCTGTTGCTGCTGTTGCTGCTGTTGCTGCTGTTGCTGCTGTTGCCGCTGTTGCCGCTGTTGCTGGTAAACTGCCTCGTTGGCGTAAGAGTATGGAGGTGGTGCAGTAGTGCGAAGCTGTGCTGTAGTTTGACCCTGAGTGCTCGAGCCGACAGTGAAATGTGCTGCAGTGGGCTGGGTAGGTAGGAGAGGTTCACCCTGCGGTTGTTGTTGTTGCTGTTGTTGTTGTTGTTGTTG